TATATATATATATATATATATATATATATATATATATATATATATATGATACACCAGTATACCAAATGTTATTTTTAGTAGTGTAAAAGCAATAACATATATCTATCTCTGGTATCCTTCAGTAAAAACATAGAGGAATGAGCAATTGTAGAATGTGTGTTATATTTTTGAATTTGATTAAAGTTAAAAACCTTGTGTCAAATTTCCTATTGTCCCAGGATACCACGCTAAGACAGACGATCGTGTGAAGAAGAATTTAATACTATACATTTTTGTGTGTCTAAAATTGAGTCAAGTTCTTTGATGCTAGCCCAGAATTTGAAGACGGTTCGGAATTGCAGTGTAAAAGCAGTCCTGTCAATGAATTGGATTTTGTCATCTTAAACGTAAAAGATTAAGGTGAAGTGGATGGAAGCCCCTTTTATATCACGTCATCCCCTTTTATATCACGTCATCCCCTTTTATATCACGTCATCCCCTTTTATATCACGTCATCCCCTTTTATATCACGTCATCCCCTTATATATCACGTCATCCCCTTTTATATCCCAATGACGTGCCCATTGTCGATTACAGTACTGTTGGCACCAACAAACAAACAAACCAATTAGTGGTCATGTGATAAAAATACAGAGATTGAATAATGAAAGTTATATTGAACTGTGGTGTTAATTTTAGCCTCCAATTGAAAATCTGAATATATATGCAAAGTCTGTGAAATTACATAGCACGCACTTTTTAAGTTCTGCAGGTTAACCTAAATACTGATGAGTGTAACTACAGAGCGTTACCTTATCTCGCTTGACTTGTGGTTCATGTTATAAGAAGTGGTTTCCACTAGACAGGACGGAATAAAGGCAACAGTTCAAGTGTTACTATCATCAGTTACAGGGTGTGGAACGAACCTTGGTGTTGTGGAGGGTGCGCAGTATCTGACCTGATTATGTCAAAGACGTTAAAGCATGTTGTAACAAATATGATCACTGCGAGTAGGGTTTATTTCAGCTGACCGTTTTGGTTGAATAAATCTGGACTATCTGTAATAAACCCAAATTTGGATCAAATCTGGCATCTCTACGTGCTGTCAGCGAAGTGAGTCACAGTTCCTGTACACAACGCTAGTGCTCACATCAATATATCCACGTTGGTGGAGTATACAATATATTTTAACCATATAAGTAAAAACACCGAATAATATTGATCATTATTTATTTTTCTCACCTTTTAAAACAAAAAACACGACAATAAATCCCAGTATGGTTGTACATATCATTCCAGGCCATGAAATTATCTTTCTGGTAAAAATACACATAGTAATAAACAAAACAAAATACGATGAACTGTCGACTTATTTCAGCAATTTATAAATTAGATTTTCAAATTACTTATGATATAGAATGGAATACCTGTTTAGTCCCGGCATATTCAACATCAATAATGGGTTTAAGACTACAAAGTGCAGTATGCAGCGTATTGTCGTAAACTCGTAAAATTGTGCGGTCTATCCATATCATCCTAATTCATGGCCACTTATAGACGAAGTAGGTCAGCAAACTGTTTGTACAACATATGTCTCGCTTATAACGAGAGCGGGATGCGAATACAGAATATTACGTTGAAGGCAAGTATAGTTTGCTTAACACTGCATACAGTTGATACTGTACTGATTGAATTCATTTACGTATAATATTGTGACCATGTTGCCAAATATAAAAGTAACGCAAATAAAGCAATAATACATACAGGAGTATATACATAATTAATAATAATAATAATAATAATAATAATAATAATAATAATAATAATAATAATAATTGACAGGGTGTTAGAATAAAAAGCCATAGAGTCTGGATAAACATACATACACATAATGATACGATAAAATAAATAGAGCAATGGTTAAAAAATACGAATGCACAGACCGGGCGAACATTTATACGCGGAGATTCTGCATAAAACACGCATAGAGTTGTTATCAATGACATCAAGTACGCACGTTTAGTTTACACGCCTTGGCAGTATTTGTTATAAATAACAACATGCATGTTTGGGGTAGACATTATAAACATATATATTACAGCAATTATAAATACATTGAATACCAATTGTGGGGTAAATACGTAAAGCTTTAACTGTGAGACACATCCCTGGTAATCACGTGATCGCGTCAACGACTGCAACGATTGGTTGATCTCATGTTTAATCTGCCACGCCTTAGAGACTAATGCTAGAGTTTGTGAGATTTGTAAGATAGAAAGTGTGATGTGGACAGCAAGGCATTACCTCAGCTGACCGTTTTGATGAATAAAGCTAGGCTACCTTTAATGAACAAATGTGGGTATTTCTTTGAGGTAAGACACTGGCACATCCATGTGTAAGAGTCATCCGTACGCTCGCTGGAGTACCCTTATCACGACGATGCTTTCTTAACACACGTCTGACCTCAACAAAAATATATAAATAAGTGGGGTTCTTTTAAGGTAGCGAGACTATTATTTGTGTTGAAATTACGATTTTCACATATATTTATTAATTGATGAAATGCACCATAAACTTTCATATGATGAAGTCAATATAACATAGAATGTCATGTATGTTGGTTAAAATGTAGATTTTCTGAAGGGAAGCAAGACAGCCTCAGTAGTGTTTTCCAAAATCAACAACACAGGTTTAATCTGTGTGCCTATAACACATATATTTATTAATTGATGAAATGCACCATAAACTTTCATATGATGAAGTCAATATAACATAGAATGTCATGTATGTTGGTTAAAATGTAGATTTTCTGAAGGGAAGCAAGACAGCCTCAGTAGTGTTTTCCAAAATCAACAACACAGGTTTAATCTGTGTGCCTATAAGTTTCAAAGATAAACTCAAGACAAAGCAATGTTAGGATGTGTTATCAGTAGCTATCTGACACACAATGAGTGTTTCCAAACATTTGAGTGGTTTGTCTCCGCCCCTGTTTGTTTCACAGATTAGTCATTTGCATATGAATGTGTCATACACAAGGTCACACAGCCACTGAAAAAAA